CGACCTCAGCGCGAAAGACTCTTGAAGCTTTTTGGATCAACGCTAAAAATTCAAAAATGAATCAAAAGGATGAATGTCTGGCTAACTAACGAGCTTGCCCCGTTCCTCGACCTGTGTGGTTTTCAACTGCCACCGGCGTCCGAGGTAGGGGTCAGGACACTCGGGCCCACCCACTGTGATTAGTATAAATACGCAATTCAAAAGGAGGGTCAACGGTCTTCTTGTGACATCTGAGGTGGGTTACCTATTGTGATTTACAATACTTTCCTAGGTATCTATAGGCCACACCTGAACTAAGCTAAGGTCTGAACGCCGTTTGGCCAGGATGAATCTTAAATATGTTTGGCTTCCAGGCTCTGACGAAGGCGATTGGCCGAAACGTTAGCCGAATAAAATCATTGTATCATCTTGGTCGTGGCTTCAAAGAGACCTCCCAAGTTACATTTTGAGAAGCTCATGTCAGCATCAGGGTCGAAAATGAATTTCTCGATTCGGTTGCTCAAGGCTGCCATCACATTCGGGAGTGTCACTTGCTCTTCTGGCTTAGCGGCTCCCTAGTCCCGCTCTGGGGCACGATCCATAATTTTCGCGATGATGTCCCTTTGTTCCTTCATCATTGTCGACGCGAGGTTCCTTTGCTCTTCAATCAATTGCTTGAACATCGACAGGACTGTGGCTGGATCCATTGCTGCACCAACAGGTCAGCGTCAATGAAGAACAGAAAATCAATAAAGAAAAATCAAACAGGCAAAAGGTTTCTTCTCCGTGCAAGTGGGGCTTGTCCCACACAAATGCGACCAAAAAAAAAGGAACCAAGAACGAAGAAAGCTTATCTGCAAGTACTCTTCAGGTCCGCTTGTTGAAGCCGGAGATAAGGACGGTCGTCGAGCCGAATCTCGAGTCGTACGTATCGATAGCAGAGTTCTTCAAATATCCACTGTTGTGTTGGATGCCGTTGTCGAGTCCTTGTTTGGTGGCAGAGATGTCGATTATAATAGTTTTTTTAGTAGCACGGTGAATAATGTAACACAGCCGACTCTGAGGAGGTTGGGGGTGCTGATGAAGGCGCTGGGCCGGTAGGAGGCAGGAAGACCGTATATCTTAATAACTAACTGGTGAGCCCGACATCCCAGGGTTTATATAGTGGTTTTCCCGCCGGCCACAAGATCGATAAGATCACCATAATGTGTGATTACATGATCACCAATACAACAACGGCGAAGCACATGTGAACACTTTTTGCTCAGAAACTGCACTGGTTGACAGAAAAACGGCTCTCATGTTAAAAATACAGCACAAGCCCTCCCCATTCTTTGACCATTCGATTGTTTCGAGCATGATTAGTGAGTGATCTAAACCTTGATAAATGGTGATGGGAATAGGATACTCCTACTACTATACATAATTCGCTAAGTGTGTATGTTAGTTTGTCGATGTGTTTGTTTGTGTGCGTGTGTTTGTGTGTGTGTGTGTCGATGAGTATGTCCGACCAGAAAATCATATCCTGTCCCCCTGGACTTAAAGCTTTGAAATTCGGTATGAGCACAAAAAGCGTGATGGGAACACTTATGATGGGTAGCAGGACCGGACCCTGCTCACGTGTGCGCGATGGAAATTTTTGACCGCAAATTCTGTTTCACTATCTGTTTACGTGGACCTAGAGCATTTAAAGGCTAAGATTTTTTTAAGATTACACTTTTCGTATAAATAGTGGAACCTCGGCATTTGAATAATTGATGCAGGATATGACGGGATCGTAGGTATTCGGTGATGGGAACTAATAGTAACCGATAAGAGAAGATAAGGGACGTGAGAGAGCCACCTACCGATCAAAATCCTAACGCCATCGGTATTTACGATGCAGCTTCGACTGTTCAGGATGTTTCATTCTATAAGATGGGATGCTAGAGTAGGGTGACAAAAGTGATTAGAGAGCGCAGTGATAAGACTCATCAGAGGCACTAAGATAAGCAGACGAAAATTTTGTTCATTTCTTGCTACTAGATTACGACCGCTACCTTGCAAGGTTCGTGTCTCAATAAAGAATCCTCTCTGAATTGTTACAGAAGCTAGCCGACTGCCTGTAACCTGAGATTCTCAACTAACGATATCTCTGCAAAGAAAACGGTCCGTTCATGACGACATCTGGTAATAGTGTTATCATCATTCGGAACAATTGTGAGTACCGCCCTAGGCTTTGGTTGATTAGTTCAAATGAGTCCATATTAGGTGTTCATTTTAAAGGAAAAAAGCAACAGGCCGTGAATTAAAGGTGTAGGCACCGACTCACTTTGAACACCACTTGCACTGCGTTGTTAGTCTTGTGCCTAACTTCGTGTACAGGAAAATATTATTTGTTTCAAAAAAGGAGTGGCGAGTTAGTCGATCACTACAACTTTCTCAGAGAAGGGAAGCCCGGCGTTAGCCGGGCGAACCAAGCCGAACCGATTGGTTTGGAAATATAGACCTAATATTTCCTTGATAATGGTAAAATATTGTTTCAACTGTTATCGTCACGAAGATTGTCTGTTAGTCATCGTAGCGTTTGCTATAGCGCATGGTTCTTCGGACCGCCTGGGACTGATAAAGGATGAGAATAAAGTTATTGACGCCAACAATCCCGTAATTGTAGCCCGGGCTCGGTTGCCTTAAGCGAGTATCACTAAGGGATTCCAACCCCTAGATCAAGGATTACTATGCGTTTCAAGAAGAGCACTTGAAGGTGTGACAACACGTGATCTAGGCAGAAAGATTCCGAAGTTGTCGATGACGTTCACCTCTGGCTGAAAACAAATAGCTTCTACCAAAATTGGCGTAATGCTCAAACCGTCTGAGAGAATAACAATTTTTGTCGAAATGTGGCGCTAACTTTTTTCAAGTAACGCTCGCTTCTATGTGCAGTATACAGTTGTGAGCTAAACAAGTGCTTCCGTTCTGTAAAAGTTTTCCCCAATAAAGACGATCTTCATTGAATTCAAATGGCTTGTTTTGCCCAACCGAGCTATGACTATCCTTATTGTAAAGCGCTGTTTGTCCGTCTGTCCGTCTGTCTGTTTGCAAGGGAATTCATAACTCCTGTCCCCATAGACCTAGAACGTTCAAATTTGGTATAAGCACAGGCGGCAGGATGGAAACACATAGGGTAGGTGGCAGGACTGGACTCTTGAGCGGGGTTTGAGGTGGAAATAGATGTTCGAGCGGGAAATAATAACTCCTGCTCGGTGGACCGAGAGTGTTTAAATTAAGCAGGATTGTTGGAGGCAAGATGAAAACATTAATGGTGGGTGGCAGGAGCGGACCGCGTCCACCGGGGGCGGGGTTTGCGCAAAAATTGTTAATTTGGCTCTAGGGCTTTCAAATTTGGTAGGGGGACAGGCGGCAGTATGCGACCTTGGTAGGAGGACAGGCGGCAGTATGGACAGGTGGGGGGGGGGGGGGGGGGAAATAGAGCAGGGCTCCGCCCACAGGGGGCGAGTTTTCCGCGAAATAAATGTCTGAGCGAAAATCTATAGCTCCCGATCCCGTGGACTTGGGGAGCAAAATCACTAGGAGTAGAGGGGGCAGGATGGGAACACCGACGTTAGATGAGGCCGTAGAGAACACGATCCAATTATCAACTAAATCCTGGCGCCGTTGTTATTTACGATGTAGCTTTGGTTTTTTGATGTTTCATTTGACAAGAGGGGTAGGTGCAGTGATAGGGACCGATTCTATAGAGATGAAATTTGGTTCACTCTTTGCTTACGACCTCCCCCTCAGCAAAGTTTGTGATTAATTGAACGATCACGCCGCTTCCTCTGCGCTTTGTTAACATTCATAGCAAAACTTATACTGACAAGGTATCTGCTGCAATACAACGGTGTGTTGTTCGAGCACAGTTGAGCGATGTTTTTATTCTAGTTAATATTCAGCCTGATAACATCAAACGCCAACCTGTGCGGAACAGACTCTATGACACGCAGTGCTTGACAGAGGGTTGCGTTACATGTCCAAACGGGATAAATGGAGATTGCGCTTCTGTAGGTATAATTTACCAGATTCAATGTGAGGCATATAATTCAAGCTATGTACATAGGGAAAACTGGAAGAGTTTCATCAGTACGTATCAAAGAGCATCTCGCTGGTAAACGGCACAGTAATGTGTTAACTGCTTTAGAGAAGCACAGAGTGGAACAGTATGATGGCAATGAATTTAACGTCAAGTGTAGGATATAGGCTAACCAGACGGAAATATCGTCGAGGAAAGCGTTGGAAGCGTTGTGGATTTGTGTGGATGAGTTAGAAATCCAGATATGAACAACCCAGTAAGTGTGTGACGATCACAAATGATCCCTTGTCTTTATGCAATACTGCGAGTTGGTTTCATAATCCGCGAACGTGCTGTGCTGATCCGCAGTAATATTCTCGCATAAGGACAGCGAAGTAAGATCATTCGCTACTAATGTGCTAACCGTGTAGAGTAGCGCTACACTTCGCGGTAGAGGTGAGGTCAGCACATCTTTTGAATTTTGGGCACTCTTCGCGCATTCCTGACAGGAGGGCGCGCGTTTCACGCGTGACCCCATTAGAGCGCTTCGTGCACGCAGCATCGCCTCAGTATCCATCTGTTAAAATGGACCAAATAAATTTGCAGTAGTCCACGGTTTCACCATGAATTAAAGCAAACCTCTTTACTATGGCAATAGAGCCCCTTCGAGACTAAAAATTCACTTCATAAGTCAACAATTTACTTGTTAAACGTTTAAAATAAGAATAACTTCAAATTTTTCTATTCCAGTAAAAGCAGTCCTTCTGTAAACGTGCATAGCTGGTCATTTTTTTACTTATGTTACTTATAATTTCTTATTCCTCCCATTATGATGGTAGGCATGATGTTCTAGCGGATTTTGTCCGATGACCTCATTATATTGACGCGTGAATCGCATCACAGCCTTCCTGACACAAGGTCAGAAACGCTAGAGCCGAAGAGGCGCTTGGTGGGTAAGGGGTAGTGTGCAGTCAACAAGCTTTGGACCAATTCAGGCCTTGAAAACGACGAATTCGTCGAGACGTTGACCAGTTAAAAATTTCCTCGGAGCAGAAGCAAGACTAACAATTTCAGGAACGGACAAGTGAATTTTTTATTTCCATCTTGAAACACAGATCTTAATATCGTCGAAACAACCCCAAAAGTGTTTTTGAAGAAAGCTTTTTGCTCAGAAATCTCACACCTTCTACTACTTCCTTCAAGGTGAAAAAAATTGTTGAAAGCGCCTCCTACGCACTTGTGTACCATACTCCCAGTGGTCTATGTTGACGGCAAGTTGTGGGAAAATTTGTGTATTGCATTTCGGGAAAAGGAATGGTTTTTTCAATGACAAAGCCGCTTTGAAACTCTAGACCTAGTAATCAGTGCGTGTACTACACCATAGTGATCGAGGAACTCACAGCGAACAACTGGAAGGAGACTTAACCCTCTGGAGCGAGGATGCTTTTTTTACTCTATGAACTTTCTTTCTTTGGACCATGAAAAGCGTTATGAGGCGGTTCGCGACATCAGCTGAAAAATTTCATGGAAACGGTCCAAGATTTTCATTCCAAGGTGAGGGGTCAGTGACCCCAATGACCTCAAATGGTGCTACAAAATAGCCTGAAGATGCAGGTCACTGAAACACCGTTGCATTTCAGTTGTTCCTCGTAGGCCGTG